TGTAAATTGGGCTGATCCCTGCATATGGCACGGCTGGACCGAACCCTCCCGGCACCCCCAGAGGGATGGGGGACCCAGCTGGAGTGTTCTCTTTTCCTATTTTTTTGAGGAAGAACTTGGTTTTTACATCTTCCTCCCAAAGCCAGGCCAAGAGGCAGAGACGTGGCGTGGGTGATGCTGAGGACACTTTATCCAGCAAAGCCCACGGAGCAAGCGTGCTGCTCACCTGGAGAAGCTGTTCAGAGGGTCCTGCAAGTGCAAGAGGCATCTTAAATCCCCTGGATGGCTGCAGAGACCTCTGTGAGGACAGAACATTTTGAGAAGAGATGCAGGGCTGCTCAATAAAGTGTTTTACACCTCAAACAGCTTTCCAGTCCCATCACGCCAGCTTGTCCAGCATAATTACAATTGCAGATTTTAATTCCTGCAAGCTACCTCTAAATTCACATCTAGAATTCAAGCAGCAGAAAATAACAACTCTTAACTGAGAGGCACACAGAGTACATTTTAATTCTGGCCTTGCTCTTCCCCAGATACACACACACAATTCCCATTCAAGCAATGAAGCTGAATTTTGGGGAAGTTTATCCCAGGAGCCGGCTGCTCCAAATGCTTTCCCTTTGCTGATCCATGGATTTTCAAAGTCCCTTCTCTGCTCTGCTCCTGCAGCAGCTATTGAGCCTCTTTTCTTCAGAAGCATTACCAGCACTTGGCAGGCTCTCTCTGCAAGCTTATGACTTACTAGCAATAGTATACAAGTCTCCAGCGTTACATAAACACTGTATTTGCTTTGTTATTTTGGGATATCCCCTGTTGCAGATGGGCTCTACCTTCTGTGCACTGCTCAGGACAATAGAGTCCTGATACAAGCAAATAAATCTCTTTTTTTCTCCCCCACCCTTGCCCAGCACACAGTTAAACCCCACTGGACTGATATTTGGAGAGCAAGCAGCTCCAGCAGTGGTGGTTTCCACCTCTGGGAAAGGCTCCCATGGGGTATCACCACATCCCTTTTTTAATCCCTGATTAAATCCATAGGACAGGCAAGAGCCTACGAACGCCTCCTTCACCTTAATACTGGAGGGAGATGAGTAAAAAGCTCCCGCATAAACTTGAGGAGGTTTGTAGGGAATTTCTGCTAGCCTGTCTTTTTTGCATCACTTTTGGATTTCATTTTTGAACCAGAGGTCTGCAGCTAAAGCTGGTTTCCCTGCAACACTTGTCACCTTAGGAGGGGTGGTGGATGCAGCCAAAACAGAGGCTTTGGTTCATTTCCTAATTACAAGTGATGGCTTTTAGAGCAATGGATTGAAGGCTTCAGTCCTCCCAGGGGAGCACTATGGAAGGAGCATCCTCCTCTGGCACAAAACAGGGCAGAATCAAAGCCCATCCATCACACTGGTCGTTTTTCCAGAGGAGCAGAATCAGTCCAAGCAGCTCCCTCCAGTCCTGGATCCTGCACAGCAGTTAGTGTGCACCAAGGGTGACTTTATCCACAATTATTCCTGCTCTGGTCTCTTTGCTTGGGAAGTTGAGATAGCAAACCACCTTCTCATCACCCACACAACACCTCAGGTTGCTCCAAATATATATAAAAATAAATATCTTATCACAGAAGCCCTGAATGGTGAGGGTTGGAAGGGACCTCTGGAGATCATCTTGTTCAAGTTGCTAAAGCAGGGTCACCCAGAGCTTTGATATTATTTTATCACTCAAATACTTTTATATTATGCATATAAACACACTTACATCATAGGTATACACATATATAAAATATATGCACATATAACATATACAAACATAAAATATATACATATATTATCTATATCTACACATCATATATACACCCACTTATGTATACACACACAGAGATATATATAAAAATACTAGGTATCTAAGATATGATGCAAGGACTGAAACCAGCTCACAAGCCAGACATTTCCTCTTTCAAAAAGTCCTTTTTGTACTTAG